CTTCTAACAAGATTTAACCAGTGCTCAGCTGGACACTGATAGAAGTCACAAGACTGCAATATACTGCTGATGGGAAAAGGTTTTTAGTAGTTTACATTTACTAAAATAATAGCATTTCCATGTTGTGTGTACTGTGGGAGACCAGAGATATAGTGAATGCGGGGTCCGGGGAGACCAGAGATATAGTGAATGCGGGGTCCGGGGAGAGCGGATATAGTGAATGCGGGGTCCGGGGAGACCAGAGATATAGTGAATGCGGGGTCCGGGGAGAGCGGATATAGTGGATGCGGGGTCCGGGGAGAGCAGAGATATAGTGAATGCGGGGTCCGGGGAGAGCGGATATAGTGGATGCGGGGTCCGGGGAGAGCGGATATAGTGAATGCGGGGTCCGGGGAGACCAGAGATATAGTGAATGCGGGGTCCGGGGAGAGCGGATATAGTGAATGCGGGGTCCGGGGAGACCAGAGATATAGTGAATGCGGGGTCCGGGGAGAGCGGATATAGTGGATGCGGGGTCCGGGGAGAGCGGATATAGTGGATGCGGGGTCCGGGGAGAGCGGATATAGTGAATGCGGGGTCCGGGGAGAGCGGATATAGTGAATGCGGGGGTCCGGGGAGAGCGGATATAGTGGATGCGGGGTCCGGGAGAGCGGATATAGTGGATGCGGAGTCCGGGGAGAGCGGATATAGTGGATGCGGGGTCCGGAGAGAGCGGATATAGTGGATGCGGGGTCCGGGGAGAGCGGATATAGTGGATGCGGGGTCCGGGGAGAGCGGATATAGTGGATGCGGGGTCCGGGGAGAGCGGATATAGTGGATGCGGGGTCCGGGGAGAGCGGATATAGTGGATGCGGGGTCCGGGGAGAGCGGATATAGTGGATGCGGGGTCCGGGGAGAGCGGATATAGTGAATGCGGGGTCCGGGGAGAGCGGATATAGTGGATGCGGGGTCCGGGGAGAGCGGATATAGTGAATGCGGGGTCCGGGGAGAGCGGATATAGTGAATGCGGGGTCCGGGGAGAGCGGATATAGTGAATGCGGGGTCCGGGGAGAGCGGATATAGTGAATGCGGGGTCCGGGGAGAGCGGATATAGTGAATGCGGGGTCCGGGGAGAGCGGATATAGTGAATGCGGGGTCCGGGGAGAGCGGATATAGTGAATGCGGGGTCCGGGGAGAGCGGATATAGTGAATGCGGGGTCCGGGGAGAGCGGATATAGTGAATGCGGGGTCCGGGGAGAGCGGATATAGTGAATGCGGGGTCCGGGGAGAGCGGATATAGTGAATGCGGGGTCCGGGGAGAGCGGATATAGTGAATGCGGGGTCCGGGGAGAGCGGATATAGTGAATGCGGGGTCCGGGGAGAGCGGATATAGTGAATGCGGGGTCCGGGGGAGAGCGGATATAGTGAATGCGGGGTCCGGGGAGAGCGGATATAGTGAATGCGGGGTCCGGGAGAGCGGATATAGTGAATGCGGGGTCCGGGGAGAGCGGATATAGTGAATGCGGGGTCCGGGGAGAGCGGATATAGTGAATGCGGGGTCCGGGGAGAGCGGATATAGTGAATGCGGGGTCCGGGGAGAGCGGATATAGTGAATGCGGGGTCCGGGGAGAGCGGATATAGTGAATGCGGGGTCCGGGGAGAGCGGATATAGTGAATGCGGGGTCCGGGGAGAGCGGATATAGTGAATGCGGGGTCCGGGGAGAGCGGATATAGTGAATGCGGGGTCCGGGGAGAGCGGATATAGTGAATGCGGGGTCCGGGGAGAGCGGATATAGTGAATGCGGGGTCCGGGGAGAGCGGATATAGTGAATGCGGGGTCCGGGGAGAGCGGATATAGTGAATGCGGGGTCCGGGGAGAGCGGATATAGTGAATGCAGGGTCCGGGGAGAGCGGATATAGTGAATGCGGGGTTCTGGGGGAGAGCGGATATAGTGAATGCGGGGTCCTGTGAGGACCAGATAACATGAATGCAGGGTCCTGGGAGACCAGGATATAGTGAATGCAGGGTTCTGGGAGACCAGATATAATGAATGCAGGGTTCTGGGAGACCAGATATAGTGAATGCAGGGTCCTGGGAGACCAGATATAGTGAATGCAGGGTCCTGGGAGACCAGATATAGTGAATGCAGAGTCCTGGGCAACCAGATATAGTGAATGCAAGGTTTAGAAACACTTTAATGTCCATTTTATGCAGCACCTCAGGTAACCTTTCCAGGCACGCACGTGCTGTCATCTCTCCTGCAAATAATAGATGCCTGGCTGTCATGCTGACTCTCTGGGTCACTAACCAAGAATAAGGAGTTCAGTCTTGCTGCATTATTGTTCCTGGTCAATGACTCGCATAGCACTGAACCCTGTGGATCAGCACAACAGTCAGCTGACTACCATTTGCAGAGTCCCAGCAACTGCTACTTCCCTTGCCTAGGACAGGTTTTGCACTTGAGAAACCTGTCTACAAGCCCCGCCCACACCTCCGACAGGCTCTGAATGGACCAATAAGATCACCTCTAATATGCCTTCTGAGTGTACAGTCTTCCTCTATGAAGAAGGTGACTAGATGGGGGTAGGGATAAAATCACTATCTACAGCCGTCATACCTTTTCCTCTGAACACTGGTACATCTCCAAAGCCTCGTCCACCAGCACAGGGTCAAAGCCTTTCTCACACAGCTGGGAGTGGATGAACAGGTACTCCAGCACCTGGAAATGGCAAATGGGAAAAAAATGTCACTAATATTTCCACCCAAAACTATATTTTACCTTTAAATGTAAACCAGCTGGGCTAATTCATCAACTGGTTTATCTCAGAGACTGCAGAGGACAGATCTGTCCCTCCCACACAGGGAGTCCATAGGGACTCATTACACCACAGATGGACAACCCACGTTATCATACTCAGTGAAGAGTTGATCAGAGGAATTCGACTTGTCTGGATTTATCACTTTTGTTGCAGTTCATCACAAAGCATTCTGATAGAGATCCCTCAAGAGAAAAGAGAAACTATAATGCGATTTGATTTGACACAACTACATACTACAAGAGCCTATTCCTTAATCCCTTCCCCCTACCGTCAGTACGTTTACATTCCTGTGGATGATGCCCAGTGGTGAGGATATGTTAATGTGTGTGACACCGAGAATGCTACCTACAAGACTGGACAGCCAAGTTTCCACTTATGATCGGGAACACTCTATCAGACATAATGATCACCTGCAGGCACTCACATCAAAACAAAACAAATACAGCCTGCAAATGGCACTGCAGCCTGAAGGTGGCGGTATGTCTCTTTAATATTAACCCCTTGGGGTCGGAGCCTCCTGGCCCTTTTAGGGTTTCAGAAGCCGGGAGGCGGGGCAAGGTTTTAAGGTCATGTGACCACCGTGATTCGCTGTCACAGCGATCACATGATCAGGAAAGGTCCCAATCGAAAGAGGAGATCGGGACCTTTCTGTGAGCAACGGACATGTGTGCTGGGAGCACGCAGGGCGCGCGCTCTCAGCACATATGTTTTTCTTAATTGCACGCAAACGTACAGCCGCTCGGCGTCAAGGCCCAGACGCTGGGAGGCCGCACATTTGCGTGCGGCCAGCATGAAGAGGTTAATACTGTAATTGTCAGATACAATAGTCGTAGTGAAAGTGTGTGTATATATATATACACACATACACACACACACACACACACACACACACACACACACACACACACACACACACACACACACACACACACACACACACACACACACACAGTACACCTGTTCGATTACTTGGTAGCACATATTGCTAATCAGCCAAATCACATGGCAGCAACTCAAAGCATTTAAAGGATCTAGACATGGTGAAGACAAATTACTGAAGTTCAAACAGAGCATCAGAATGGGGAAGAAAGGGGATTTAAGTGACTTTGACCGTGGCATGGTTGTGGTTGTCTACATATTTCAAAAACCGCTGATCTACTGGAATTTTCACACACAACCATCTCTAGGGTCCAAAAAAGAGAAAATATCCAGTGAGCGGCAGTTGTGTGGATGAAAATGCCTTGTTGATGTCAGAGGAGAATGGGCAGACTGGTTGCTGCAACATTCAGATGGTAGGGTCAGAATCTGGCATAAACATGAAAGCATGGATCCATCCTGCCTTGTATCAACATTTCAGGCTGGGTGGTGGTGGTGGTGTCATGGTGTGGTGGATCCATCCTGCCTTGTATCAATGGTTCAGGCTGGTGGGTGGTGTCATGGTGTGGTGGATCCATCGTGCCTTGTATCAATGGTTCAGGCTGGTGGTGGTGGTGTGTCATGGTGTGGTGGATCCATCCTGCCTTGTATCAATGGTTCAGGCTGGTGGTGGTGGTGTCATGGTGTGGTGGATCCATCGTGCCTTGTATCAATGGTTCAGGCTGGTGGTGGTGGTGTCATGGTGTGGTGGGGATCCATCCTGCCTTGTATCAATGGTTCAGGCTGGTGGTGGTGGTGTCATGGTGTGGTGGATCCATCCTGCATTGTATCAGTGGTTCAGGCTGGTGGTGGTGTCATGGTGTGGTGGATTCATCCTGCCTTGTATCAATGGTTCAGGCTGGTGGTGGTGGTGTCATGGTGTGGTGGATCCATCCTGCCTTGTATCAATGGTTCAGGCTGGTGGTGGTGGTGTCATGGTGTGGTGGATCCATCCTGCCTTGTATCAATGGTTCAGGCTGGTGGTGGTGTCATGGTGTGGTGGATCCATCCTGCCTTGTATCAATGGTTCAGGCTGGTGGTGGTGTCATGGTGTGGTGGATCCATCCTGCCTTGTATCAATGGTTCAGGCTGGTGGTGGTGGTGTCATGGTGTGGGGGATATTTTCTTGGCACTAGCAAGGTGGACCTAATAAAGTGGCTGGTGAGTGTATGTATGTAAGTAAATGTAGATCTTGAGCCAAAGTAATAGCAGAGTTCCAATATGTAGTGTACTCTTGAATGAGGAAAACACATCCTCTAAGTCAGTGTTTCCCAACCTTTTTTCAGACAAGGCACTCTTTAAAAATTATGGGTAGTCCTGAGGAACCCTTTAAAATTATGGACAGTCTTGAGGCAGCCCATTCTGAAATAGGGTGCCTCAAGACTGTTCATAATTTTAAAAGGACTCCCCATTCTAACTTATGAGAAACTATTCTAATAGTTTTTATAATGCAGCAACATCCACACTTGTAGGACACCCAACATTAGAGGTGATTTTTTAACTAAAAGGCAGGCCTGTCCACAAACTGGCTTGTTTACAAGTTTTGGGCAATTTTCAGACATTTTGCCAAGGCACCCCTGAGGAAACCTCAAGGCACCCTGGTTGAGAAAGGCTGCTCTAAGTCACTTTGCATGATTGAAGACATGTCATTGAAGCATCTCAGAACCTGCTGTCCTCCTGGCACTTTCCCATATTAGCCATCAGAGTAGAAAGTCCAGACTGGTTCCTGCTGACACGACGTCCATAACTGCTTCCATAAGGACTCTTTACAGTAATGGTATGAAGGTCATCTCTGAACACCCAACATGGAGAACCTTGAAGTGGACAGACTATAGCAGCAGAGGTTCACACAGTGGCCTCCTTTAGTAAGCGAAGCACAGGAAAATTATGCCATTTTATGCACAGTTCACCAGAACTGGCTGAAATATCTAAAAAATTTTGACTTGGGCTAATTAAACCTCCATTTCTGTCATGTCCTTGTCCATGGCAAGGTCAGAGGTTGGCATTCATAGCATGAAACCATCTGGTCTTCTATGGGCGTGGTGTGACAGTAATCTCACTGAGTCGGCATACACCAATATCTATTAGGAAGGTTTCTAGCACCTTGTTGAGTCCATGCCACTGATAATTCAGGCCATTGTAAAGGCAAAAAGGCACAACCCAATGCTAGATAGATATTCCCAATGAATTGGCCATTCTGCAGTTACAGTGTCTTTCAAAATCAACTGGCCTGATAATGCAAAGCAAACAACTCACATCATCAATAACGGCACGTATATCAAAAGAGCAGAATAGGGAGTTCAGTCTTCTAAAGACCACAACTGCCAATTCATATGCTCACTGTATGAGCAAGAAAATTATCCGGAAAACTGGGTATGATACTGAGAATGCGGATTACAAAGATTTGGTCATAATCTTGGTCACCAGGAGGTTCATGCTAACATTTGATGGTTCTTACCGGTTACAAGATTTGTATATACGGCTTGCAACCCCCTTCCTCTGCTGAACTATATAAGATGGAGACGCTGCTCTGACCCCCCCCATCCCTAGTTCTCCATCCCATCCTCCAAACACTTCCCGAGCATCAGCTAACAGAGCAGCAACTCCCAACGAAAGCCAGATATTAACTTTCAGTTCATTAAAAAGAAAGCCTGAAGGCAATTAGCCGGCTGCTAAATAAATTCCTGACTCTGAAAGAAAGATGTAAGGGAACCAAAGGGTGTTCCTCCTTGAAGCTCAAGCCCCTGAGTAGATTTGGCATAAAAAAAAGAATGGAGCCAGTGCCGGTAGCGGGAGGGCAGGATTACCGCGTGCCTCTGTCTGGTAGACGAGAAGACTTCGCCTTTGTAATAAGCTGGCTGGATGGCAGCCAGCCAACGCTGCAGTTTCATACTGCGGGTCACAATACCGTCTTAAAATATCCAGTTCTCGGCAGACTATGGAAAATTTGGGGTAAACATGGCCAGTCATGAGACATGAATTTAATATTCGTTTATATAAATGCCCATTTCCTAATGTGGAGGGGGCAGACAGAGTAAATATGCCAGCTTTGAGTGTTGCTCTACATTAAACATAGGTGTCCAATCAGCACTGAACTGGCATGTCCGATTCTCTGGAGTGGGAACTCTGCTTGGAGAGTGCTGACAACGTTGGCAAGAGATTTCAATATGAATGTCATCGGTGCAGAGCCATATCTATAGGTGACATTCTGCAAAGGCTTGAAAAGAACACGGAGCTTACAATCCAATGTCCTCACCAGTGTCACACGCTACTGTGCACCAAAGGAGCTTACAATCCAATGTCCCACCAGTGCCACACTCTACTGTGCACCAAAGGAGCTTACAATTTAATGTCCCCACCAGTGTCACACGCTACTGTGCACCAAAGGAGCTTACAATCCAATGTCCCCACCAGTGCCACACTGCTACTGTGCACCAAAGGAGCTTACAATCCATTGTCCCCCACCAGTGTCACACGCTACTGTGCACCAAAGGAGCTTACAATCCAATGTCCCCACCAGTGCCACAATCGTACTGTGCACCAAAGGAGCTTACAATCCATTGTCCCCACCAGTGTCACACGTTACTGTGCACCAAAGGAGCTTACAATCCAATGTCCCCACCAGTGCCACACTCTACTGTGCACCAAAGGAGCTTACAATCCATTGTCCCCACCAGTGCCACACGTTACTGTGCACCAAAGGAGCTTACAATCCAATGTCCCCACCAGTGTCACACACTACTGTGCACCAAAGGAGCTTACAATCCAATGTCCCCACCAGTGTCACACATTACTGTGCACCAAAGGAGCTTACAATCCAATGTCCCCACCAGTGCCACACGCTACTGTGCACCAAAGGAGCTTACAATCCAATGTCCCCACCAGTGTCACACGCTACTGTGCACCAAAGGAGCTTACAATCCATTGTCCCCCACCAGTGTCACACGTTACTGTGCACCAAAGGAGCTTACAATCCAATGTCCCCACCAGTGTCACACATCTACTGTGCACCAAAGGAGCTTACAATCCAATGTCCCCCACAGTGTCACACTTACTGTGCACCAAATGAGCTTACAATCCAATGTCCCCACCAATGCCACACGCTACTGTGCACCAAAGGAGCTTACAATCCAATGTCCCACCAGTGTCACACGCTACTGTGCACCAAAGGAGCTTACAATCCAATGTCCCCACCTGTGTCACACTCTATTCTGTACCAAAGAAGCTTACAATCTAATGTCCCCACCAGTGTCAGACTCTACTGTGCACCATAGGAGCTTACAATCCAATTATATATGGACATTACCGTCTTTTGCAATGTTCAGGGAGATATGGCTTTAGGAAGTCTCCAGTGGTGATTTTTGGTCTCCTTTGGTGCATAGTAATGTCCCCACCTGTGTCACACTCTACTGTGCAGCAAAGGAGCTTACAATCTAATGTCCCCACCAGTGTCACGCTCTATTGTGCACCAAAGAAGCTTACAATCCAATGTCCCCACCAGTGCCACACTCTACTGTGCAGCAAAGGAGCTTACAATCCAATGTCCCCACCAGTGTCACACTCTACTGTGCACCAAAGGAGCTTACAATCCAATGTCCCCACCAGTGTCATGCTCTATTCTGTACCAAAGGAGCTTACAATCTAATGTCCCCACCAGTGTCACACTCTAGATTGTAAGCTCCTTTGGTACAGAATAGTGTGTGACACTGGTGGGGACATTAGATTGTAAGCTCCTTTGGTACAGAATAATGTCCCCACTAGTGCCACACACTACTGTGCACCAAAGGAGCTTACAATCCAATGTCCCCACCAGTGTCACACTCTACTGTGCACCAAAGGAGCTTACAATCCAATGTCCCCACCCTGTGTCACCAAAGGAGCTTACACTCTACTGTGTACCAAAGGAGCTTACAATCCAATGTCCAATGTCCACTCTACCCCAAAGTGCTTACACAATGTCCCCACCCCGTCTACTGTGTACCAAAGGAGCTTACACATCTACTGTGTACCAAAGGAGTCCCCACCCGTGTCACATTCTACTGTGCACCAAAGGAGCTTACAATCTAATGTTCCCTTGACAATCAGACTGCGAATCAATAAACTGCTATGGTGGGAACATAGGAGTGTAGGTTCCTGTGAGTGGGATGTGAATATTTTGGGAATTTTTGTACAGAACTGAAGAATGCCAGAGCTATATAATATGCACAGTGCTTTGAAGTATTCATGTTCCTTGAAATTTTCTACATTTTGTCATGTTAGAACAAAAACCGTAAATGTAATTTATTTGGATTTTATGTGACAGACCAACACAATATATGTAGGCGCTTTACAGTAAATGGCACGCAGACCATCCGTCCCTGTCAGAGGCTGATTGGGTGGAGTGTCTCTTACAATGCCTCCCTACCATGATCTCAGCCAGGGACCGATTTATCCAACTAAAATGTATCCATAGAGTATATTACACCCCACGGCGACTGGCTGCGATATATCCTGGTAGATCCGCAACACTGTCCTCGCTGAGATAGGGCGGAAGGCACGTTTCACCATATGTTTTGGTAACGTCCGAAACTATGTCCCATATGGACCGGGGTATTAGCAATGGAATACGTCTCTCACACCTTTGCCTGCACGACCTGTTCCCAGGTTACCAAAGGAAGGACTGGTCTCACCTGCTCCACGTTCTGCCCTTGTTTCTGCATGGCTCTCATGACATGTTCATAAGAATAGCCCATACTGACAATGGTCTCCGCACACTGCCTCTCGCTGCTGGACAGCGCCTGCAGGAGATCCTCATAACCCGGAACATGGAGCCGCGTCACATTGGTGATGTTATTGGGCACTTTGGACATTGATACCTGATGAGCGGCGGTCTATGTAGGAAAGAGAAACAAAAAAAAAGGAGAAATCTTTAGAAAAAAGGAAACATTTTTAGGCAGCTAAAATATAATCTGGTAACAGTACGGGTCTACTACCTGCAATGATAGTAATAGGTACCGTATTTTCCAGCGTATAAGACGACTTTTCAACACAAGAAAAACTTCTGAAAAGTCGGGGGTCGTCTTATACGCCGGTATACGGCGAGCCGGTGTCAGGGTGGCACTTTTTTCGAGGGGCGGTGCCGCTCGAAAAAGTGACACACCAATGATGGGGCACTATTCCTCCCACTGACACCAATGATGGGGCACTATTCCTCCCACTGACACCAATGATGGGGCACTATTCCTCCCACTGATACACTGACACCCCAATGATGGGGCACTATTCCTCCCACTGATACCAATGATGGGGCACTATTCCTCCCCACTGACACTGACTATTCCTCCCACTGACACCAATGATGGGGCACTATTCCTCCCACTGATACCAATGATGGCGCACTATTCCTCCCACTGATACCAATGATGGGGCACTATTCCTCCTCCCCACTGACACCAATGATGGGGCACTATTCCTCCTCCCCACTGACACCAATGATGGGGCACTATTCCTCCTCCCCCACTGACACCAATGATGGGGCATTCTATTCTCCCCACTGATACCAATGCTGGGGCA